CCTCTGGGACCCCTGCCCCATCCACCCCCCCATTCCCTGATGGCCCCCCCGGGACCCCTGCCCCATCCAGGGCCGCCCAGAGGTGGGGCCAAGTGGAGTAATTTGCCCCGGGCCCCGCAGGGGCCCCCACGAGAATATAGTATTCTATAGTATTGCAACTTTTTTGTATGGAAGGGGCCCCCAAAATTGCTTTGCCCCAGGGCCCCTGAATCCTCTGGGTGGCCCTGGCCCCATCCACCCCTCTCTGTACCCTGACTGCCCCCAGAACCCCTGCCCCTGACTGCCCCCCGCCGCCCCATCTAACCTCTCCCCTTTCCTGACTGCTCCCCCAGGGACCCCTGCCCCCATTCAACCCCTGTTCCCTGCCCTCTGACTCCCCTGCCCCCTGACCACTACCCTGAACTCCCCTGCCCTCTAGCCAATCCCCCCTGCTCCCTGCCCCCTTACCACGCTGCCTGGAGCACCGGTGGCTGGTGGCACTGCAGCCGCGCCGCCCAGAGCACCAGGACAGGCCGCAGCTCTGCAAGAGCCCTGCTGCCCAGAGCATTGCGTCGGCCGGGGCGAGCTGAGGCTGAAGGGGAGGAGGAACAGCAGGGGAGGGGCCAGGAGCCAGCCTCCCGGGCCAGGAGCTCAGGGGCCAGGCAGGAGGGTCCCGCAGGCCATAGTTTGCCCACCTCTGGACTAGATCCAGAGGTGGGTGGAAAGCTGAAGATCCCCAGTTTAAGGTCAGGAACAGTAACTTCTATCACCTTGACAGAGGTTGGGCCAGAAGTTGGGTGCTCTAACCACAGGCCACCCGACCCTCTGAGCTCTCTATCACACATGTAGTTCCTCTGCCCACCCGTCCTGGGGGATTATTCCATCCAGGCCTTTAGAGCTCAGGAGTCAGATTCCCCTGCTGGTCACATGAAGACCATCCAGCAGCACGTTTGTTCTGCAAAGGGGCAGAGCAGTGCTCTGTGGTATCATCAGAGACTGTTACTCTGATTGTCACTTGCTGCCTCTACCACCCATTCCATAAAGAATTTAAACTGGTGTGTTAACTGTAGAGAAGATAGGACACTGGAGAAAATCAATTTCTCTGTGAAAAGGCTCTGATAGTCCTTAAATGGCTGAAGATTATAAATGCCTCCAGGTGCTCAGGCAAAGTTTTAGCACTTTCACCCCTTCCCATAAGACTATGAACGTTTCCATGGCCAAAGGGATAAGACTGCATGTAATATGACAACTGGAGTGCACGTTTACTCCAAGAAAACTCATACACTTAGGAATGCATGGATAATTTTTGTACTTAAGGCTGGCTTAGTGCCTTTAAGCAAATGCCAGCCATGCAAATAAAAGTACAGTTGATGGACATACACTGTACTCCACACCAGAAATGTGTAATAGCATCTAGAAACTTTTTGAACTGACTGTAGTTTCGATGGGAACCAGACTGTCCTGGAGCAGAAATACATTGAGCACAACTGAGGTAAGGAAGGGAAACATTTTTTTAAAAATTGACCTTTTCTTGAAATCATAGAAACCAGTGATTACTGTGAAAGATGTAAATAGGATCTAGTGCCCCCTGGCACAGCCTACACACTGGTGTGTAAGGAAGACATTCACAATGTGCTTTTCTTGGAACCTTAGTGGGTAATACTAGAAGCACAAGTTCTGGCCTGATGAGGAGCATTTTATTGCCTATAATAGCATTATGAGTTGCCTGGGAGATGCCAGGAGGTATTTGAGCAAAAATGATACCCAGTGAATACTGAAGCTGCGCAGCAATGCTTAGCTGCTACATAGCACTTTTCATCCCTAGATTTCAAAGCATTATGTAAAGGTGGGTAAATATCATTAGCCCCATTTTATAGACGGAAAAACTGAGGCGCAGACAAGTTAAGGCCCAGTCTTCTAACCCTGGGTGCCTCCAGTTCTGGGTGTCCAACTTCAGACACCGAGGCTGAATCCTGGCCCTACTGAAGTCAATAGGAGTTTTGTTTAGGTGGGGTCAGGACTTCATCCCAAGAGCCTGATTTTTCAAAGTTGCAGAGCACAAACAATTCCAACTATTGGTCAGAGCAGGCAATGTTGAGTACCTCTGAAAATTAGAATCAGAGAAGTAGTGAACTGAAAACTCATGAATTTCAAATATTTGGGGGGGGATACATGTTTCATGAACATCTGCTCAAAAAGTCCCTATTTATTTTAACCATATCTAGTAAAAAACCAGTTTGAGGCTAATTGTCCCCTCACACCCATGTAAATCAAGAGCAAGTCCACTGATTACAGTGGTGCTACCATTAGATTATAGCAGTGTAAGTGAGAAGAGACCCAGGACCCATATGTCAAAACGTTGCATGGGTGTAAAACTGGTGTAAGTGTGAGACTCCAGTCCAACAGGCACCTAAAGAACTTTATGTGCACCTGCTCTAGTGCCTAAGGGGAAGGTAGGTGCATAAGTGACTTTCAGATGTGGGAATGGTGTGATAGCATATGCAGGACCTCTATGAAACCAGCATTAGCTGCACCCAAATTCTGAGCACTGTGGGTGGGTCCAAGGGACAAAGTGGGACTTTCAGTATGGACGGGTGGGGGAGAACAGCGCTTGGCTAGACCTGGGCACCTTGGATTTTGGCATGATCAGGAGATGCCTAATGCATAAGGCACAATTGGAGGTGAACCCAGCATGCAGCACAGGAACAAAAGAGGCAGCAGCTGGGACAGGAAGACCTCCAGTCACCCTGACAGAGATAGGACAGGATGGATGGGAGAAGGGGAAGCTTAATGATAGGCAATATGTGTCAGGCTCCCAGTGGGTTGGGGAGCTAGAGAAGGGACACAGGCAGGGTTTGGATGGAAGAAGGAAGCAGGAGACTAGCTGGCCACAGGAAGGCGGGTTGGGTTAGGGACGAAGGGAGATTGGGGAGTTCTACATCCCTGAGGCAGCTGTGAGAGAGGCGCATGCTCTTCACCTTCTACCAGTGCACAGCAATTATGGTTGTGTTTCCTGGGGCTCACCAAGCTGGAAGACAGGCATAGAAGCACAGGCTCCACTAGGATGGTATCCAAACCCTCTGTGGTGAGCTCAAAGACAACCTGGAGACCAGGAGCCAGCTTATCCATGGCTGAGAATGTCACCATGGTCCTGGGCATCATGGCAACTGGTTCTTTGCAGTGAACAAATGGCCAGACTATGGCCATCAGCTAGTCTGTGGTCTCTAATAGTAACAAGCTGCTTCAATCACAATCATAAGCTGATGCTCACTTTCCTGTCTCACATGAATTTTTTTGTTTCACTTCACAGTTAAACCCCATTTATCTCCTTTATTCTTCTTTTATTGCTGGAGGAGGCAGTTTCCACTCCTGATAAAACACTGAGCTGCCAGTCACCATGCAGTCACTAATATTTCCTCATCACAAAGCCATCACCGCTGTCTTGACAAATTACCCAGTGTATTTTGGATAAGCCTTGTTTTTTAAATAGATGCTGCTGGTAAAAAATAGTATGGACTTAACTGGGCAGAAAATTGGGGTGTTGAGAGAAATGATTTGCAGCAGTAGCACCAAAAAGATGAAACGACAAAAGTTTTGGTGGTAAGGCTCTTAAGCTGCAGTCCGTTAGGATTGGAACTTTCTTGAAAAATCACTATGAAACACAATGTAGGCCACTTTGATATTATCTGGGGGAAATCTGGTCACTGAACCCAATGAGGGAGAGCTTAAATTCTGGTTGATGGGACAGCTCTGCCTTCCGCACACTGGGAGACTATTCCTGCCTTAAACTCAAAGTCAATGCAAAGGGACCCTAGCTGATTTTATTCTACTAGGTTTCAGCGTTGCTAGTGTCTCACACTGAAGAGCTGTGCATCCCAGACAAATAAATGAAAGGTGCAGCACTAAAGAAAAGGGGACTTGAAGGATATCCCTCAGGGAAGGGAACAGGCAGGACTAGAATTGGTTCGTTAAGCCCAACCAATTGTCCCCATGTACCATGACCAACATTTTTCAAATTGAGGTGCCCCAAATCACAAACCTAAATTCCATATACAGTGTCACCTAAATAAGAAGCCTTTTTTTTTAAAGGTTTTTGGCACATCTGGAAATCAAGTCACTTTTAATAGATAGCTAAAAATATATTTACGAGCCTAACTTTAGGAACCTACACTTGAATATTTTGACCTATAAGTTTTGAATGAAAGAATGGAAATGCAAAACTATATTTTAAAAACACAAACTAACTAAGAAGCAATAGCAGCACCATAAAAATCAAAGTGTGTAGTGATTTCTTTTGCCCACACATCTGTCAAAGTGATATGTCTCCATGGATCTGTCTTAGCATCTCCATCACCATGTCAAATAGCAGATTGTTTCTAGTCAAGGAAACAAAATGAGACTGCACTGGAACAGATGTGCCATAAATCTACTTAGGGCTGGTAGTGTCCCCACAAAATGAGAAAGTGCTTAGGCAGAGAAATGAGGAATAGCATATGTTACAACATCAGACACCCTGCCTGCAACTAGTATAGGCACACACTCTTGCTTTACTTACAGTACAATCAGCACAGAAAAAAAATCTATTTGTTAATAATAGTTAGCTGCTTTTTAATTGATAGTTTTCAAAATACTGTACTCTGGTGAGTAATTAGCACTATCCCCATTTCCCAGAGAGGGGAAACTGAGGCACAGAGACGTGACATGCTCAACACTGCATAGTGAATTGGTGGCAAACCTGAGATTTTCCCATCTGCCAGTCCAATGCCCAATCCACCAGACCATGTTCTCAACCCTTGAAGTCCTTTAGCATTTAACAGAGATGAAACCATTAGAATTCTTTAGAAATTGCTGTACTAACCTACTGATTTTAATAGAGTGAAGAGCCATACAATAGCAGGGATATAATTTCTATTAGATAAAATTCCATAGGCTTTTTGATAAGGGAAATTTTTACCATCCAGGGACTAAAAAAACAATTTCTATTTCACTGAAATGAAATAAAATGTGCTCATGGGACTTAGTTCTGATTTACGTTCTATGCCTTTATTCACTGAAAGATTATAGTACCACATAGAACAGCATAACAATCAGTCAAATACGGCAAGAAATAGGCACTGTGAGATACATTGGGGTTGTCTGACAAGGCAAAAGTTGGCGTAACAGCTGTTATACTGGAGTTCTGGACTCTGCTATTAACTTAATGCAGCATTTTTACGTTATTCTAACTGATTGACTGTTTACATTACAATTCCAAACAAGTTGATAATGTGTATATCATAAAAGTACAATAGGGCAAAAGTGCTTTTCCTCCACTACATTTTATGTCTGACTGGAAGGCATATTTGTGTCCACTGCTTTAGACTGTATACAAGTTTGAGGCTTAGTTCTTTATATTGTTTAATATCCTCTCCAGCTGTACTTTCGATTGTGCAGTACCTTTTTGAGAGCTAGCGAGACTTTAACACAAAATGAAAGCCACTCACTTTGAATTTTTTTTAAAGCAGTCAGTTAATATCCTGATGAATTCTAAAACACCTTTACACAAAAGTTACTTTATCAACAGAAAAGCTTGTTGCTGTCTGTAAGCAGGTGATGTTCACAATTTGGCCTGGACAGAGTATACTAACATTTTATAAAGTTCAAATTTAGGCCTCAATCCTACAATTGACAGTCTGCCCACATGATGTCAGTTCCCAGATCTGAGTCTTACCTCCTTCCTGGAATGTAACTTTATGGTAACAAATATCAGTGAAAAACACACTTCAGTCTATGCTGCTTTCATCCCCAAACTGGCTGTTCTTGGGGTTTGTCCTGCAGATCTCCTCTGTCCCATCCACTCGTTTCTTCTATCTCAGGGAGAGGCTCCAACCCATCTTATATTTCTTGAATGGAGAGAGTGACTCAGTTAAAACACCTTGACAGAGATATGTAGGGTCCAAGCATCTGAATCAAGATAATGCAGCAGAAAAGCCCTGGAATCTGTCACCCTATTATGTCTCCTTTCGTTAGCCCTTCCTTTGCAGCTGTCACATTATTTAGCATGGATAACATGGACAGTAGCCTACGACATAGAGGAAGGCTGCTTGAGTAGCTGTTTGCACTGCTATAAAAGAAAACTAACAGGTTCTACTTACCATTGCAACAAACATACGCCTTCTCAGCCTAGCCCTTCCTATCATTTCTCAGTCAGTATCAAGATGTTGACTCCCACCGCCATTCAGCCCAGGATACCAGCCTCAATCGCCCACTTGCTAAATTTTTGAAGAAGCACCTTTGTGCTTTCTCCCATGCTGCCTCTCATGCTTTGGAGGCGCTCCACCGAGCTACCTCCTCCCCCTCCTTCAAAACCCTCCTTAAATCTCTCCTTTGCTGAGATGACTATAAGAAACTTCACAACAGTTTAGGCTGCAGGTATGCTGAGATCACTTCCTATCATGCTGACCAGCATTGTCTCATTGTGTCCTTGTACTCCCCCATTAGTCTTTCTCTACCTGTTATCTCTTGTCTAATACTTACATTGTAAGCTCTTTGGGCAGGGATAGGATTTTGTTTGTTTGTTCTGCATTTGTATTGTGCCTAGCATAATGGGGTTCTGGTCCATGACTAGAGTGTTTAGGCCCTATGGTAATACAAATAATACAAAAATAGTACGCTCAGATAAAGTAATGGGTTGTATCAATAGAGTTTTATCTCAAGCAGGTTAAAAATAAAAGTAATAGGGACTATTCAGCTCATTGTGGATGGAGGTGCACACACAGGCTCACCAAGTCATAAACGACCCTTTACCTCAAATGCATGCATTGCCTCCTGCCTTTCCCTCACCTGTGCTGTTTGGCAGTCCTAGCCTCAAACAGAAACTTACTGGTGTTAAACTGTAAAACAAGGAGGTGGTAACTAGCAAACAATTGCTGGTAAAAACCTGACAAGCTGAGTTAAAGAGACAGCCTGTGATTTAAAAGACACCAAACGTAACTTGGGCTATGCCTACACTACATCATTTACAGGGGCACAGCTGTATTGATGCAGCTGTGCTGCTGTAGTGCTTCTGGTAAAGACGCTCTAAGCCGATAGGAGAGAGCTCTCCCATCAGCTTAATAACTCCTGCCACCTTGAGAGGTGGTAGCTATGTCGGCAGGAGAAGCTCTCCTGTTGACATAGTGCTGTCTACACCAGCATTTAGGTCGGTGTAAATTATGTCGCTCAGGGGTGTGGCTTATTCGCACCCCTGAGCGACGTAAGTTGTATTGAACTAATTTGAGGTGTAGACATAGCCTCAGTGAAGTGGCGGGTCCATAGAATATAGCTAGCCAGAATGACTGTATTACAGAGGCATACAAGGCTATGAGAATCTGAAAATCATTATTATTACACACAAAACAACATATAGAGAATTGTCCTTCCATAAAGTATCTTTTCTTACAGTTTATCTTAAAACAAGTCTCAGAGGTATCACTGGCAATAGAAAAATGACCGTTCTTACACGTATTTAAGTAATAGTAATCAAGTGTTGAGTAACATACCCAAGTGTAATTTGTGAAACTGTATCTACTTTGGGTTCACTTGTATTTTGCAAAACTGTTGAATCTTTCATAAAATTACAAGTGGTTTTTTTTTATTATATATAAAGAAGTGGGGGTTTCCTTCTATTTTGCAATTGCGTAATCAAGAACTAACTATGTGGCAGCAGAATCATTTGTTACTGAAAGAATTTCACTGTCTTGAAAGAGACAATCGGAAAGAAAATTGGTTACACCTCTAGCCATCCATTCTATCTAGCCATCCATCTATCCATTCTGTCTAGCCATCTGTTCCATCTAGGCACCCATTCCACCTATCTAATCATTTATCCATCCTGTGCTCGTCAAAGTGGTTTCTGAGCAATTTGGCAATCACAGCAAAGTGACAGCAATTCAGATTTGTTTTTAATGCTATTTCTTTTTATTTGTTCTTAGTAACTGTAGGGCTCATTAGCAAAATAACCCTTATACCTAAGTGGAGTTAATATAATGCATCTTATTCTGATGACAGAAAACAGTTGAATGATGTAGTGTAGCATTTCAAAATCTTTTTAAAAAGAGATTTTTCTCCTCTGAATCAGGATCCCTAAGCTAGGCACAAAATCTCCTCTTTTATCAGTTAGGTTTGTGCTGGTAGTCTGCAATAAAGCAGTAAAGCTAAAAGTCCTAACGGAGGCACTTCAGATAAATATGGAACAGCAACAAGAGCAATGCAAACGCGGATACTCTCCCACTGTTGCCTCCTACTCACAATCTTCCCAGAGGCCCTAAATTATAATTAAACATACTTCTAAATCAGGGGTTTTCAAACTTCATTGCACCACGATCCCCTTCTGATAACAAACATTACTACATGACCCCAGGTGGGGGGCCGAAGCCCGAGCCCCACCACCCCAGGTGGGAGGGCCAAAGCCAAATACCAAGGGCTTCAGCCCCAGGCAGGGGTCCTGTAACCTGAGCCCCACCACCCAGGCTTCGACCCCACCTCAGGCTTTGGCCCCAAGCCCCAGAAAGTCTAAGCCAGCCCTGGTGACCCCATTAAAACGAGGTCATGACCCACTCTGGGGTCCTGACCCACAGTTTGAGAACCACTGTTCTAAATCAAATCTAGCTGAAATGCATCCAGTCTACTCATACAGTACCCCCTGCTGGGCTATTCCTGGTGCAGCTCTGGCAGCAGGGCCAGTCTGTTACCCTCTATCTGATACAAAAGGTGCTGTGACTGCAGTGCAGCGTCAATTGGACCTGGAGGGAGGGGGAGACAGACACAGATTGAAAAAAAATACTAAACAGCAAAAAGTTGACATAGTTATGAAATATAAAAAATCCCTTCATTTAAAAAAATAAAGCTAGTTGCTCAAGTTAAAATATCCTATAGTCAGGAAGATATTTCTGTTAAACTAAGAAAATCTGGGATGAATATGCAGCAGATGCACTGTTACTGAACAATACAGATTGTGGAGCTACAAAAGAATGTCCTTACAAATCATACTGCATAAGAGTAGTAACGCTTTTTTTTTTTAAAAAAAATCTTGTACCAAAAAACAATAGAAAATATTTTTTTCTCTTCTCAGTTAAGAATTATTTCAAGGTGGATTGGAAAGTGTTTCAGGCAGTGAACTTGCTAAAATTCATCTCGATTTAAGGCATATCAACATGAACAGAGAAGGAGGCTATAAATATGGTCCATTAAGCATGCACAGGTAATACTGATACACGTTGAAATGTTGTTTCTCTAGATTGTGCATTAAGGCAAAGAGAGCGGAGACTTTTAGTCTTCAGTAAGAGTCCATTTTAATTCTTCTGTGTAGACAGCAGGTAAAAATCATCCCACAGCTCTGTGTTTAAAACAAAACAAAAATAAATTATTGTACCACGTCAGTAGTGGATGGAAAACACTAATGCACATTAGCAGAGCTAATCCAATTTCATGGAACCAAAATAAAATTTTTTAAAAGGCCTTTTTATTTGGATAGTAATCAAATTTCCATTCAGTCAGATATGGATTTTATTTTTCCATTAATACCGTATTGACAAACAGAACTCTAAAACGTCAACAACAAAGATTCCTTATACAGGACACCACAAGCTCTTATGATGCCTGATTTCTAAGCCCACCACAGGGGTGGACTTTAGGCCCAAGCTCACTGCACATTCAGGGGCCCTTCTTCCTGCTACCAGACAATTAATGGTTCTGGTAAAGGTACTGCTTGTTGAGATGCACCCTTGCGAGGTGCCAAGCACATCCTGGGAGGCTCTGATGCTACCACCCCCACTGAAGTCAATAAGTCTAATCCTGCTGCCACTGTGAGTTTCCCCATTGACTTTAGTGGGGGGCAGCATTAGGGCTAACAGAGCTCAGCATCTCAGACCAGATTCACTGACCATCTGCTTTCCCAGCACTCTTAGACCTCTGTTCCCGTCTCAGCTTCTTCCCATCCATCTGCACTCGGGCCTGACACATTGTGCTGGAGACCTGCTCTTCCCCCTATACTTTGCTCACTGCACTCTGCATTGGATCAGCCTTTGCCATTGCTTGGCAACTGGGGGAATATTGTTGGTGTACAGAGGTTAGGCGTCCAGTCACAGGTAGGATGAGGCTGGATGGTGTCCTGCCTGTCCTACTTTGCACAAAACATAGGTGCTGTCCTGCCCCCAACACATCAGCATGTCAGCTATTTCCTTTCCAAGTGGGACAAGAGAAGCACCAGCCACCTAATCCTCGTCCCTCAACATATGATTTCCATTGGTGTTGGGGGAGTAGGGAGAGGCTTGCGGGATCAGACCCTGTCAAGGAGAGCCATGTCGACAGATCTCTCAAAGACAGCATCTGTGTCCTGACTGGAGTCCTTTGCATCCATCTCCTCAGCTGTTTTTTTCTTACCTTTGTCTTGTTTGTTACAGTAGGTTAATTTCTGGCAGCTATTTTTCCATGCTCCAGAATGTTAACATCACCATTCTATTTATAGTTCCCGTGCTGACACTTGGTAATGAAAATATATTTTCACGACTTGTATGCGCTCCTCTGGCTTTCTCCTTTTCACCCCCCTGACCCTACTGCTTACTTCTTGGATGACTGAGACTTTTCATGCTGCCAGGCAAAATTAGTTGAAAAGAGGAGTATTTCCAAAGTTGAAAAGGATTTAACCACCCCCCAAACCAGTCTAATTTAATTTAAGAACAATCTGATTGTTCCTTGACCACTGACCATATTGTCAGAACTCTGGATATCTCCAGACATGTAGATTAATGAAGAACTGCAGAGATTAGGCAAAAAAATCCCGACTGTTTCAAATCAAGATCTTGCCTGTGCTTAGACAGAACATATACAGAAGCCTAACCAGAGCTACGTTAGGTAGCTGGAACGTCATTCAGAGGAAAGAAGACACAGAATCTTGGGCTAGGTCTACACTACAGCGGGGGGTCAACCTAAGATACGCAACTTCAGCTACGTGAATACCGTAGCTGAAGTTGCGTATTTTAGGTCGACTTACCTGGCTGTGAGGACGGGGGAAAGTCGACCGCTGCCGCGCTGCCGTCGACTCCGCTGCCGCCTCTTGCCGCGGTGGATTTCCGGAGTCGACGGCAGAGCGATCAGAGATCGATTTTATCGCGTCTTCACTAGACGTGATAAGTCGATCCCAGAACATCGATTGCCTGCCGCCGGACCCTCCGGTAAGTGTAGATGTACCCTTGGTCTTGGAGCTTGGCAAACAAGCAAAGGTGCAAATGATATTTTATGCTTTACTGCGTTTCTGAGCTGTAAGTCAGCCCAATGCAGAGGACCCAGGCCAGGCCACACCCACCTCTTAAACCCATGGGGCCAAATCCTGATCCTGCTGACATCGATGACAAATTTTCATTGACTTCGAGAATGGGATTTGGTGCTAAAGCACAAATCCATGTCCCAGCACCTATTCTCTGCAGCTAGGCCAGGCATAGGGCAGATTTGGGGTGTTGGGGGGGGGAGGGGAAGAATATTCTTCCCCAAACTATGGGGCAGTTGAGGAGATGATCCACAAAAGTTGCTTCAGTCATGGTAACCACCATTGGGCCTTATGCAGTCCTCTGTGGGGCAAAGGACCAGAGGACCTGAACTGGATGGGACTTTCTGGCCAGCCCATGCCTCACCCCTTCCTGCCCAGCGCAGGTGGACCCTGCAGCGATGAGCACTGTGCTGAGCATGGTCTGCTCCTCTGGCATGGCTCACCCTCCCAGTCCCCCCCTTCCCAACAGGACTCCATTAGTCCCACTGCATGTGGCCCAGATCTCTACTCCATTATGCAGCACTTCAGTGATGTGGGGGCCCTGAAGTGGCTGCCTCTGCTCTGGGGCAAATTTCATCTTGAATGCTAGAGAATCTCATCGAGTTTGCTCATTTGCTAAAGCAGGGCATTCGCCCTCTGAATGTGCGTGCAGTGCATGTGGATCTGCTGTCACGTCCATTTTCTGCCTCAGCTGCTTCTACTAATAAGGCTTTGATGCACTGGGTCACATCTTGACTTAATTGCAGTCAGACTCTCTTGGCAGGTCATTTAAACAGAACGTCTCCATGAAGCTGAAGCAGGTGCTTGTTTTCCAGTTCCATGACAAGGGGGGCCTGTCAGAGCAAGAGAGGGAGCTGCAAAAGCTCTACAACCAACTCACAGACAAGACAGCTTATTACTAGTTTGACAGTGCACAGTAAACACAGTGGGCCAGATTCTCATTTACACCAAAGCCACTTTATACAGCTGTAGGAGTGGAAAAGAGCCTTAGAGTGAGTGTAAATGTCATTTACTCCCCCTTCAAGGTCTCTCTGCGCTGTAGAGCAGCCTTCGTGTATATGAAAATCAGGTCCACAAACCTGAAAGTGCTGCTGGATTCCACACAGAGGCTCGGCTCTAAACAGAAATAACAAAAAGACCTGTTTGTTGCAGGAGAGATTTCAGACTGAGGTCCAGTCCTGGCAATCAGAGATGGCTCCACTCGCCACTGGGTTGAAAAATGGCACACAACTGATTACTGCTGGTGCCATGGCTTTGTTATTATTTGTATTGCAATGGCATCTACATGCTCCAGTGAAGGAGCAGGGGCCATTGGGCTAGGCCCGGTACACACACATATAAAAGCTCATAATCTACATCTATGATGAGAGACAACAGGTGGATACAGCAAAGAGATGGGGTAATTGCTGGTAATTGAAGAGATTTTGTCTTTGTTTAGGGCCTGATCCTGCAATGAGTAATCCTTACTTAAAAGAGTACAGTGGCCTTAAACATTTGTGCGAACATAAGGTTGTATCCAGACCCCACTGAAGTTAATGGGTGCTTTGACGCTGACTTCAATGGGATCAGGATTTCTCCCATATGAACTGCCAGACAAAATAAGACCAGTGGTACATCTAGCCCAATATTCTGTCGCTGACAGTAATTCCAAGGAAGATACAAGAAACTCTGTAAAGGACAATTAAGGAATAACCAGCCCATAGGGAAAATTTCTAAGCACGAAGGTTTATATCCCTTGTAATTTATTTTATCCTATCTAATGTAACTGTGGTTCTTCTCATTATCTGTATAAACAGCCAATCCTTTTTTGGAATCCTGCTAAGCTCTTGGCCTTTGCAATTAGGTAACTTTACTGCCGTATTCCCTATAGCAAAAGGACTACTTGGAGAATTCTACTAACATTGCTGTACTGTGAGTTAGCCACAAAAGCCATTAAAAAGTAAAAGGGAGCCACTGTAGACCCATTGACTTCAGTGGAACTGCCCATGTAAGGGTTGGTCTTGGAAGGGTGGGTTTGCAAGATTAGGCCTTATGTTATGTTTTACAAACATTTAATCATCCTTAGTGCTTATTTGCTCTTACACAACTCCACAAAGGCAGGCAAATCTCATGCAAAGCCATTGCAAGCCCGCCTTTCAGTAAGGTTGTGCTGTGCAGAAAGAGCTGACAGCCTTTTACCAAACACCCAAGAAAAACAAAAAGAATCATGCAAGATGGTCACAAGCCACAAGAGCATTCCCAGGCATGCATTTAAAAGAATACCATACACACCATACCATAGTAAGGGTAAAGAAGGCTAACCAGTCACATTACAGAATACGCATCTTCTTCCTCTTCCTTATAGAGAACATAGTTAAAACAGGCGGTCAGGCCTGCACCAAGCAGCTAGTACACCATAAACAAAAACAGTCAGGAAAACAAGTTAGACTGGCTTGAACAGATGAGCTCAGTACAGTAATGTCAAAGGATTGAACTAGCTGCCCCCTATTCATTCCAAATTAGCACATGACACAATCTCTAGTGTCCTCATGACAAGAATTGGAGCTGACCACAGGAAAGTAGCAATTTGGGCTTTTCCTTCACATATCTGTATGTTTGGAAACAGCGAGATTGTCAAAAGTTTTCATCTTCTGATGATAAAATAAGGAAATTAAAATAGTGAGCAGCTGTTTCTATAGTTTAAATCATTCGGTCTTCAAAATCAATACAAATTCATTTGCAGTACAGCAGAACCACACAAAGGTTCCCATCCAACAAAGCACTTGAACACATGCTTAACTTTAAGCACACGAATCATTGAATTGACTTCAATGGGACTGCTTGAGCAGTAAGCTGCTACTCAATGTGAGTAAGGGTATCAGAGAGGCTGGTTCTAATTTGCACAATCAGTTATTCACAACAGTGCAGTCATTAGCACACATGAGCAAGGCTCTACTGCAGGGGTTCTCAAACTGGGGGTTGGGACCCTTCAGGGGGTCACAAGGTTATTACATGGGGGTCGCGAGCTGTCAGCCTCCGCCCCAAACCCCGCTTTGCCTCCAGCATTTATAATGGTGTTAAATATATTTAAA